CCCCCTCCCCCCCCCCCCCCCCCCCCCCCCCCCCCCCCCCCCCCCCCCCCCCCCCCCCCCCCCCCCCCCCCCCCCCCCCCCCATCCCTCCCCCGCCCCCTCCCCGATCCCTCCCCCGGCCCCTGCCCCCGTCGTCTTTTGTGAGTAAAGTTTTGTTGTCACACAGACACAGGCCTTCCTCTGCATGCCGTGCCCGTGCCCGTGGCAGGGCCGTTGGGTGCGTGACAGGCCCGTGGCCTCCGGGGCTGAGAGGCGCTGCTGGCGGCCCTCCCGGCCCCGCTCTGCCCGCTGCGGGCGCCCGGCTGTGAGAACCCGGCCGTGCCTCCCCCGGATGGGGCGTCGCGCTCACCCTCCGCGGCTCCCAGGGGCGCGGTGCCCGGCGGTCTGAAGCCCACGGAGTCCTGTGACAGTCTCGTCTGTCTGCGAGGGTGCTGACCCCGGGGGGCGGCTCTCTGCACAGGTGATGCCGAGGAGCTGGGCTCTTGATCCAGTGCTCGGTTGGTGGGAAAGCGCGGCGGGGTCGGAGCCTCCCTCCCGCTTAGTTACGCCCACTGCTACCTGTGTCCCCGGACGTCCCTTATCTCTGCTCCCGGGGTCACTGGCTTTTCACGTGGTCCTTGGTCATCGAGAGGTCGCGGAGGTCAGGAGCTCAGGAATAGCGGCGCCCTGTGCTGAGCAGCACAGCGCTTCCGGAGTAGGGAGCGGAGGAAGCTTCTAGACCCTGCAGCCACCCACTCATCTCTGGGCACCGTGGATTCAATTTAAAAATTTTTTTAAAAATGGGGCGCCTGATTGGCTCAGTCAGTGAAGCGTCTGACTCTTGACTTCGGCTCAGGCCATGCTCCCCGGGCTTGTGAGATCACGCCCGCATCGGGCTCTGTGCTGTCAGCGCAGAGCCCGCTTGGGACTCTCTCTCTCTCCCTTTACCCCCTCCCCTCCTCTGCCTGCACACTCACACTCTTTCCCTCAAAATAAATAAACATTTTTTAAAAAGTTACAAAAATGCCCTATTGAGATACAATTTACATAGTATATAGTTTACCTGTTTGTTTTGTTTGGTTTGTTTTGATAGTTGATCTATTTATAGAGAGTACCATTCATTTCTTTTTGCATATTTAAGGGGCTGTGTAATCATCACCACAATCAGTTTTAATATGTTTTCATACCCCCTCCCCAAGGCCCTTCCCCTACGTGGGACCACACTGTGTGGCTTTTTGTGTCTGGTTCCTCCCACCTCGTGTGTTTTCAGGGGTCGTCCCCGTTGTAGCAGACGTTAGGGCTTGTTCCTTCCCACTGCTGGCGGACGGCTCATGTCGTTGTTCATGAGAAGAGGCATCTGGGCTGTTCCCGAGTCTTGTGTGTTTCAAGGAAAGCTGCCGTGAGCACGCCTGTCCGGGGTTCACGGGGTCGTGTGTTTTCGTCGTGACCGCGGGCGGACCCGGGGGTGGAGCTGCTGCCTCCCGAGGCAGCTCTGGGTCTAACCTTCCCGGGAGCCGCCAGACTGTTCCAAGCAGGGAAACCATTTCCCCTTCTGGCCAGTGTCACTCCGGCCTCTGATTCTTCCGTGTGTCTGCCGGTGCCTATGACCCTCTGTCTGATTCTGGCCGTCCTGATGGGTGCCCGGCGGGGTCTCGTCGTGGTTTTGGAAAAGCCCATTTTGATCAGCAGCCGCGTGCCCAGGGCGGTGATGGCCTGGGGGGTGGGTCTCCCCCCCGGGTCTGTAAGCACCTCCCCCCAAAGATGTCAGAACATCAGAGGGTACAGAAAACAAACATGAATATGATCTGTTTATTTGAAAAGCTGTTTTGACGGGAGCCTGCCGCACACGGGCCGCTCAGGTGCCCCCGGCCCCCCGGCCCCCCCGGCACACGGCACACACGGTGGGGAACGTCCCCCTGCCGGGAGGAGTCTCGCGCATTTCAGAAGCGCTGTTTGGGTCTGATGCCCCAAATGGCACATGAGATGATGAAAATGTCCTCGGCAAAGAGTCCGCGACTGCCCTGCGTGGGCGGTGTTGGGGTCTGTTTAACCAGAGGATGGCCGCCCTGCCCGGTCCCCCCACCCTGCCCTGGGAATTAGCCGGAGGGAGGAAGACGTGTGTTTGCAAACCTACGGATGTTCAACTTGGCACAATTTATGGCCGTGAAAAATCGGAACAAACTGTGATTTCCGGGAAGGAGGAGGAGAGCAGGAATAGGGGTCTGGGTGTCGCAAGGGAACGGAACGAAATGTGATCAGAAACGAACGGCTGTGCAGAGCATCCGGCACTCCCGCAGCCGTGAGGACCCGCAGGTGCGCGGAGCAGAAGCTGCCACGGGCCACCTGAGGGAGCGGCCGGCAGCCCTGGCCCAATGAGTGAGAGCGAGGGGGGGCCCTTCTCTCTTCCCTCCCTCCTCCCCCCCCTCCCCTTCCTCCCTTCCTCCTTCCTCTCTCCCTCCTTCCCTCCTTCCTGCCCCAAATGGGGCCTTCCTAGGTGGCTGTTGCAGGGGTGCCCAGAAGCCCCAGGGTGGGGGTGGGGTGGGGCCCAGCCCAGAGGTGCGGTGCGGAGACCAGGCTCAGGCTCCTTCCGTTCCTCTCCACAGTGAGTGAGGGGAGCCCCAGGGCGGCCTTCAGCAAACCCTTGAACCCTTGGTGGCAGAACCCCCGGGCTGGCTTTTATTCTTTCCTTTCCGCTGCTGTTACTATGAGGCCTTCCAGGGATTTGAGCTGGGCCGTGGGGGGCGTTGAGAGGGAGGCTGACCTAGTGTCGCCCAGGGGCCTCTGGGGAGCAGTCGGCCGGTGAGGCTGTGGGACCTGGGGCGCGTGCGGCGGCTCCGTCTATAAGGCCGGGGTGATGCTGTGCACACAGACTGCTTCCAGAGGGGTCTCTGCTTACCCCCCCCCGCCCCCCCCATCTGAGTCCCTGGAGAGCCAGAGGCCAGCTTGCAGCAGGCGGGGCGGCGGGGCGGCGGCGAGGTGTCGGCCCCACCTTCGTGCGCTTTGCACGGTGAACAAAAGCTTGTTCCCTTTCTGCCCCAGAGCCTCAGCCTGGGTCTGGTGTGCGGCCAGGGAAACGGGGGGCAGTGCAGGCCTAGGCGAGGGTGATGGAGACGCAGATTCGTGTCCCCTCTGAGCTTGTGGGAAGGAGGTGACCCTGAATTACTAGTCTCCCAGAGCCCGGGACCACCAGGGGAAGCCAGAGACAACCACGTGGGGGGCTTGAAAATTATCCCCAGGGGCGCCTGGGGGGCTCAGTTGGTTAAATGTCGGACTTCGGCTCAGGTCATGATCTCACAGTTCGTGGGTTCGAGCCCCGCGTCGGGCTCTGTGCTGACAGCTCAGAGCCTGGAGCTGCTTCGGATTCTGTGTCTCCCTCTCTCTGCGCTTTCCTGCTCATGCTCTGTGTCTCTCTCAAAAATAAACATTAAA